CAATAATGTAATATTATCTTGTTACGTTTAATATACACTTTTCTATCTTATTACTGTAATATACACTTTCTCATCTTTTTACATTGTCCTCTCAAAAAACAAGATCGATATCTATTTTCTATCTTGCAATATATACTTTCTTATTTTGAATTTTGTTTCTATTACACACTACATGGGATACATTGTAAGTAAAGCATTTGCAGTCTTCATGGGCATTTGCATCTGGAATTATAATCTAAAGCCAAAAGGCATTATACTCCCATGGGAGTATACAGTCTATTTATTTCCTTGGAAAAATCCACTTAGGATTAACTTAATGTAACTTCTTCGACCCATAGATTAACCTCAATAAAAAAGAATTTTTTAATTGCATCATCCAGTACTTGAAAAGAATAATGTCTCAACAATGAATAAAGTTGGTCCAATTATTAAGGAGTGAGATCTAAATGCTAGAAAACTTCAATTTCAAAATTTTAATTATAAAAATAATCATATAGTGATTCTCAGGTGTAGCCCAAACTTGAAGATAAAAAAAATCTCCCAAAATCAATCTTTTAATCAAGGGCGTAAATATACACTATGCTCCAGCAGGAGTATAGTATACGTGCTCTATTAAATATAGGAATTGTTGCCCTGAGATCAACGATGTAGCATGGTGTTTCCATGATTCATACCACTTTTATATGAGATGAAGAATTACACGCAGTGTTCGAAACCAATTACTCGGGCGGAGTACTTGGACCCATGCTTGAGTTGAGTACTCAACCTGGGTTCGAGTAACTTATCTAAGTAGGGCCGAGTACCATAGTAACAAAATATATTAAAAAATAAAATCTAAAAAATCTAAAATATTGGAAAAATATATGTAAAGTAAAAATGAAACAAACCACATTTTATATGTGGTAAAAAAAATTAAAAGAACATTTTATACAAGATGGCCACAATTTTTTACAACCATTTGATGTGAAATTTGATAGCTTGGATATGTCACAAATTTCGAGAAAATTTCTTTTGAAATTTAATCTTTGTCAATTGAATAATTGTTGCCAACCAATTTCACATCCAATGGTCAAGATTAATGTGACCACCTGGTATCAAAGTAAATGGTCTCATTCTATACTTTCCCAAAACTTAAAGAAAGAATAGATTTTGAAAAATCAATATATGATCACAAGTATTTTTATAATTTTTTAAAAATTGTGTAAATGTAAGATAAATATTTATGACCCAAATACTTTTCAATTTTTGTCAAAATGATAGAATCATACAAAAAATATATTAAAATATATTTCTTATTTTGGGTAATTTTTATATTTTTTCAATTTTTTAATATTAATGAGTTGGACTCCCAACTCAGGACAACTCACGCTCGGACACTACCCGAGTCTGAGTAACTCGGCTGAATCCGAGATGATGCAGCCAATTTTTCAAACCTTGATTATGCATCAAAGGTTTTGGTTATTCCACCGAACCAAATTGTTTATTACTTGATTTGGTTTGGCGGGTCAAGCTCCAATTTAGAGCGCAATGTCTCATTGTACGATCTATTAGTAAGGAGATCAATGATCAAAAGATTTGGAGCTCAAAAAGAGCTACAAATCAAAATCACTCTACTCATAAACAGATTCTTTTATTGTTTAATACCAATGGTTTAAAAAACGGATCGGTGACTCGGATGGGGCTTCGAAAAAACCGATCCGGATCGGAAATCGGGTGAATCGGTCAGAATAAAGCTTAAAAAAAATTCGAAAAAATTATTAAAATTCATTATAAATATT